CAGTTTTTGTGTTTGATTTTTTTTTTCTTTTTTTTTTATTTGGTTTTCAAATAGGTAATTTCAAAGAAAAATTAATGTAATTAGTATTTTGTATGAAAGGGTATTTTTGTACTTTTATTTTTATTTTGGCATTAAAGTAAGAAAAAACTTAAAAATATGTACTCAATTGTGGTTTTCAACTAGGCGGGATTCAACTAAGCAAAAATTAGTATTCAAAATAGTTGCCCCCTTCTTTTTCTTTTCAAAAGGTCTAATTTCAATTGACTTTTTCGATTTTCATCCCTAAAATAATAAGAGAGTTTTGACCCGAGTACATTTGGCTTTGTTAGACTTTAAAATGAAGATTTTCTGTCACATTTATGTCAACTCATAAATTAAGCTCCAAGTCAAAGGCATAAGAACATGACATCTGGATATCAACCGGACAATACGGTAGCGACGAAGCCCTTTTCTTTCTTCATAATTGCGGTTGCGGATTTGAAGCCAGTGTTCATTTTTACATATAATAGTCGGGATGTATTGGTACCATAATACAACCCGGAATTGTATGAGAGCGAGTGTACTGATACACTTCGAGTATTTTAGAGTCAAAAAGATAAATCAATAACATTTTCAAATAGTGGGAAAAATAAATTATGGGGAAATAACTAACTGCATAAACAACCATGACAGATAAGTGTTGATTAATATTGAAATTCCAAAAGATTTTGATTGTAGATACAGGGTATCTCTGACATGGAAGATCCCCACCCTTGGCAGTTACTATTATTATTATTATTATTATTATTATTATTATTATTATTATTATTATTATTATTATTATTATTATTATTATTAATATAATAATTTCAGAGGATCACTTTTTTTTTTTGTTTTAAATAAGCAGAGGATCACTTTAAAAAACAATATTATTTTCTACATCACATCTTTTGTCTAACATCTTCAAATTAAAGATGTTGTTTTTTAAGGTTTGACTTTTGTGTTTGGGGTTTAATTTCCAACTGTATATAAACCGCCTCAAACATCTGTCCCATGCACTGTATTTTCAGAGAGAGAGAGAGAGAGAGAGAGAGAGAGAGAGAGAGAGAGTAGAGAGAGAGAGAGAGAATGAGAGGGAATAAAAATGAAGTGAGATTGAACAATGGAGTAGACATACCAATAATTGGTTTGGGAACCTACTCTTTTGAAAACGATATGAGAACTACTCAGTATGCTGTCCAAATGGCCCTTCAGGTATATTCAAATCTCCACCTTCACCTCCACTGTGTGTTTTTGTTGTTGTTTAATTTGCATGAACATCATCATCAACTTAATTAATTTCTGAAAAATGGATTATATGTCGCTTTGCAGATGGGATACAAACACTTTGACACTGCACACATATACGGCTCCGAGCCTGCGTTGGGGAACGCTTTGTGTGCTGCAATGTCAAACGGCCTAATCGAAAGAGAATCCCTTTTTATTACATCTAAACTGTGGGGTAGCCATCACCATGACCCTGTTTCTGCTCTTAAACAAACTCTAATGTAAACATGCACACAACTTCTTTAATTATTTGGATAGTCATATATACTACCATTAGTTTCTCTCTCTTATTCTCTCTCTCTCTACTCTACTCTCTCTCATCAGGAATCTTGGGATGGAATATCTGGACATGTATTTGGTGCACTGGCCGGTGAAGTTGAAGCCATGGGTGAGCCATCCTTTGCCGAAAGAAGAAGATTTCGATAAACTAGACCTGGAGACGACGTGGGCTGGTATGGAAAAATGTCTGGAAATGGGATTGTGTAGAGGCATTGGAGTCAGCAATTTTTCTTCTAAAAAGATTGAAAATCTCTTGACTTTTGCTTCAGTTACTCCTGCTCTCAATCAGGTCTATCTATCTATCTATACACATAAATGCATGCTGCAATTGTCAAATGGTAGTAAAAGAGATTGTCGGAGAAATTAATGTATTCCATGAATTTTTTATTTTTTTATTTTTTAAATAAAATAATAATAATAAAGAGATACAAAATGTACACAGGTGGAAATGCACCCAATGTGGAAGCAGAAGAAGGTGAGGGATTATTGCAGGGAAAACAAGATTCATGTGAGTGCATATTCAGCACTTGGTGGACCTGGAAATTTCTGGGGTTCAACAGCTGTTCTTGATAATCCTATTATTCACTCCATTTCTCTCAGACACAATGCTACTCCAGCTCAGGTTCACTAATCAAGAAACACAACACCATTTATTTGCTGTTATTATTATTTACTATACTATATATAGATAACAATGTAGTAATTTAAAAAAAAAAAAATTTAAGGTTGCTCTGAGATGGGGATTGTCGAGGGGGGCAAGCGTAATCGTGAAGAGCTTCAATGAAGAAAGGTTGAAGGAGAACATGGGGGCACTTGATCTGAAATTGGAAGACAGAGATATACTCGAAATCGAAAAGATGGAAGAATCTAAAATCATGAGAGGGGAATGCTATGTTAATCAGTCAACAAGTCCTTACAAGACCATTCAAGAACTATGGGATGACGAGATTTAATCATCATCATCCCTTTTTTTTTTTTTTTTTTTTTTTTACGTTTCCGAGAAAAAACGAAAAAAACGAAAAAAAAAAGAATTTCTTGTAACCAACATATGATTTTATTTGCATGCAAAATTCCTGTAATTCACATTCATCAATGGCATGATTTGCTTTCACCAAAGTGTTCTATGAAGAATTCTGACAACTAAAAGTATTCAATTAACCATCTCAATGCAACAAAGACATAATAAATTAAGGTATGCTAACAAGGCATATATATTATCCTTCGATAAAATGACAGATATGCACCAGTTGAGACGGTTATAAGAACGGCCAAACGTTTATTCGTCTCTAGCTGTGGCGGTGTATTGAGAGGCAACAACTCCTATTCGCTCTAAAATAGCCATCCATCGAGAAATAACTTCATCCTTCTTATTAACGCGGTCTTCCGACTTTTAACATCAAAATATATCCATCGTTGAGTAGAGTTTGTTCTCAAGTTCATATATGATAGCTCAGTTGGAGTAGAACCATCTTTACTTTTGTGTCATCCATCCATACGAACAAATGCACTACCGGCCCTTTTAGTTTGAGAAAACAAAAAGAAGTAATTTTAATATTTTTCAACACTGAAATATGTACGATACACGGTGTTTATCGATAAGGAGTCAAGAAATTGTTCATCTAAAAATGGTTCACTAATTTTTTACCCTTCGAGAAAAATGACAAAAAAATCGTATACAATATAGCACATGATTTTTGCAAAAAATCGCTAAACCTTTCAAATATTATTTTAATATTTTATAACAATCAAATACTTAGTATAGAAGATGTTTATACATTAGTCAAGAAATTGTTCTTCTAAAAATTGTTTAACAATTTTTTTAATAATCAAGCAAAATCGTAAAAAATCAAATAGCGCCCCATTTTTGCTAAAAATCGACAAAATTTTCAAATATTTTTTTTTATACTTTTAAACACTCAAATATGTAGTATAGAAGATAGTTATTCATAAATAGTCAAGAAATAGTTCATCTAAAAAAATAACTAATTTTAAATAGTCCAGCAAAATCGCATAAAGTTGTATAATATAGCATATGCTTTTTTGCTAAAAGTGGCTAAAATGTTCATAATTTTTTTAATATTTTTTAGCAATCAAATACATGGTATAGAAGACGTTTATCCATATATAGTCAAGAAATTGTTCATTTAAAAATTGTTTCACTATTTTTTTATTACTGAAGCGAAATCGCAAAAAATCGTATACTATATAATAGCACACGATTTTTGCTAAAAGCCGCTAAGATGTTCAATTTTTTAAAAAATATTTTTTTACAATCAAACATATAGTATATATGATGTTTATCCATAAAAAGTCAAGAAATTGTTCGTCTGAAAAATGTTTCACTATTTTTTTAATAGTAGAGCAAAATCGCAAAAAATGTATACTTATAGCACACGATTTTTGCTATAAAACGCTAAGTTATTCAAAAAAAATTTAAATATTTTTTACAATCAAGTATATAGTATAGAAGATGTTTCTCCATCTATAGTCAAGAAACTGTTCATCTAAAAATTGTTTCAGTAATTTTTTAACAGTGAAGCAAAATCGCAAAAAATCGTATATTATATAGCACACGATTTTTGCTAAAAATCGCTAAGATGTTCAATTTTTCTAAAAATATTTTCTACAATCAAATATATAGTATAGATGCTGTTTATCCATAAATAGTCAAGAAATTGTTCATCTGAAAAATGTTTCACTAATTTTTAAATAGTAGAGCAAAATCACAAAAAAATCGTATACTATATAGCACACGATTTTTGCTAAAAATTGCTAAGATGTTCAATTTTTTTTTTCACACTCAAATATATAGTATAGAAGATGTTTATCCATAAATAGTCAAGAAACTGTTCATCTAAAAAATGTTTCACTAATTTTTTAATAGTGGAGCAAAATCGCAAAAAATCGTACTATAGCACACGATTTTTGCTAAAAATCGCTAAGATGTTCAATTTTTTTAAAATATTTTTCACACAAAAATATTTAGTAGAGAAGATGTGTATCCATAAATAGTTCAGAAATTGTTCATCTAAAAATGTTTCACTAATTTTTTAATAGTAGAGCAAAATCGCAACAAATCGTATACCATATAGCACACGGTTTTTGCTAAAAATCACTAAGATATCCAATTTAAAAAAAAAAAAATCACACTCAAATATATAGTATAGAAGATATTTATCCATAAATAGTCAAGAAATTATTCATCTAAAAAATGCTTCACTACTTTTGTAATAGTAGAGCAAAACCGCAAAAAATCGTATACTATAGCACATGATTTTTGCTAAAAATCGCTAAGATGTTCAATTTTTTTTAAAATATTTTTCACACTCAAATATTTAGTATAGAAGATGTTTATCCATAAATAGTCAAGAAATTGTTCATCTAAAAAAATGTTTCACTAATTTTTTAATAGTAGAGCAAAATCGCAAAAAATCGCATACTATGCACACGGTTTTTGCTAAAAATTGCTAAGATGTTCAATTTAAAAAAAAAAAAAAATCACACTCAAATATATAGTATAGAAGATGTTTATCCATAAATAGTCAAGAAATTGTTCGTCTAAAAAGATGTTTCACTAATTATTTAATAGTAGAGCAAAATCGCAAAAAATCGTATACTATATAGCACACGATTTTTGCTAAAAATTGCTAAGATGTTCAATTTTTTTTAAAATATTTTTCACACTCAAATATATAGTATAGAAGATGTTTATCCATAAATAGTCAAGAAATTGTTAATCTAAAAAATGTTTCACTAATTTTTTAATAGTAGAGCAAAATCGCAAAAAAGCAAAAAATCGTATACTATAGCACACGATTTCGCTAAGATGTTCAATTTTTTTTAAATATTTTTTAACACTCAAATTTATAGTATATGTTAATCGAGAAATGGAGAAGGAATTGTTCATCTAAATTTTGTTTCACTAATTTTTGAATAGTCAAGCTAAATCACAAAAAATGCATACTATAGTACACGATTATTTGCTAAAAATTGCTAAGACATAATTTTGCAAAGAAAGTCAACTTTCTGTGAGAAAACATACCTGGGATCCACCATGTTATGATAACTTTGTGTCCTAACTTCCTCCCGTCTGACCACCACCCCTACTGGGAACAGATGATGTTCCCTGCTCGATGCACTGTTTTATAAAAGAAAAAAAATATATATACATACATGGCTCAAAATTTCTATATAACAGAGTCAATGTGGCACATTTCTATATGTTTGGAATTAAAAAAACATTACCTGAAGAAGATAATTATGCAGCCAATCCAATGTTTGAGGAAAAGCTGTAGCTGATATGTTGACAACCGTATAACCCTGTTCAAAGTGTGAGAAAATCCATGAGCGTGTAAGATGGCTCCATGGTGCTTATTTGTCACATAAATAAGGTGCTCAACGGTGAACTTGATAGTTAATTCAAAAGATCCATTTTCGGTTCGGAAAGATATTTCTGAATATTCACCATCAAACTTCCCACCCCACCCACCCCGAAAAAAAAAAAAGCAAAAGAAAAGGTACGCTTTTCCCCTTTTTCCTTAGGTTGAGATTTAATTTATTTCCACGGAAAGAAAAAAAAACCCTGAAGTTTGTCTGAGCTTTCGTTAGGGCCTCAAATGATCATACCTGCGACTTGAACGAACAGAGATAGTCCTGGATGGTTTTCAAGTTGCCAATTAACTTATCCTTGTCCTGGAAAAAGAAGTATATAGTCTTTGTCAAAGAACTATTTGAGGCAAGAGACAATAGAAGAGGGAACCTCGTGTCTAAACGGAACTTGAAAAGATATCATTGAGAAGTTGGCGAGTGAGGAACAAAGTAATTATGCTTCCATTAGAGTTCTCGGTATAACCTGAATTGGGTATTTATCACTGCTACGAGTAGATACCCATTCCTCTAGCAAAGCCTGTGAAAAATCAGTGAACTCATTAAAAGGCAAAATTTCACAAAAACATATGGTGTCAACACAATAGAAAAGATTCTTGAATTCATAAATCCATCATAATATCCGATCTCGAGTGTTTGAACAAAATTGCCGACCTTTATTAATCAATCATACTTCCAATTCTTAAGATTTCAATTATTGCTCATTGTTTTATCTATTATGACATTCTTGCACATAGCGACCATACGGATTTTCAAATCTCCAGGTCATGTTGACGAGGCAGGTTTTAAGCTATAGAGACTTTACACCTTTCAACACAAAAGCAATTTCCGACGCACCTTATGATCAAACTCAGCCATCTTTAGGATTATAGGAATAATAATAGGTTCAGGACCAGCCTTGTCTTTATTGACTTTGGGAGCCTCAGTTGTGCCAGCATTCGTTACCGTTTCACCTGTTAAGACACTGAGAAGTTAGAGCTAACCTGTAAAGTTGAAAGGAAAAAAACGAAACCCAAGGAAATTACAGCATAGAATGAGATTTTTTTCACCTTTAGAGTCAGGTATGCTGCCATCTACACTCAAAGATTTTAGAGCACCCGAAACCATATCCACACCAGATACTGCTTTCCCTGACCTAGCACTCTGAGTGGAAATATTGTCATTGTTCTGATTAGCAGCAGATGGAGCAGTACAACTATTCTCGGTTGAGCTTCCATTTTTTACTTTTCCCGAGCATTTCTCGTCATCTTTTGCTTTATCTTTCGCTGAGCACTTCTCTTCATCTTTTGCTTGTAAGTTGGTCGATGATTTATTTTCATCATCCATCAAGTAAATACTAGGATCCAAATGTATGCCCTGTAATTGTTGCGAAAAACTGACATATATCAGCATACCAGCACTAGTTATTAGTTGCATTCCACAAGCTATAGATGAACGCAACTACCTGGTAGCCGTAGCACTCTTCTTATTGAATTACCAATTTACTTTGAATTAAATAGAACTGATACTGCAGTATTCAGTACAAGTTTCAAACGAAGTCTTCATTTTCTTAGACTTAATGAAATCTCTAAACGGTTCGGTATATGAAGGCATAAAGTGCTTAAAAGCGATAGATAAGTTGTCAATAATGCAGATGAAAGAAAAATATAAAGAACTGGCAACAATTACGAGCATGTAAAAGAGAGACATACATTACAATTTAGCCGAATCTGACTTACCTCAATAATAATTGGCTTTCCGTCCTTCATTGCTTTCTTCAAATCACCAGCCAAACCTATATGCAGAACAAATTAGTGAGACTCGTCATAGTCCACAATAAGCTTCAGGGTAGAAAATTGATACTCTATATTACCTTTACGAACGATCCGACATTCTCTACAAAATTCTTTTATTAACTCCTCGGAGGAGTTGAAATCTCTTGCCCATACTGGAGAAGATGCTAAAGGTGCACTGAGAAGAAATTGTAAGTGCTTTAATGATCTTATATTTAAAAAAAAGCAATAAAATAAAATAATAATAATAATAATAAAATAATAAAAATAAACATAATAAAATTTTGGCAGAAAGTATTAAAAGAATGTCAAAGGGCAAAACAGTTTCATACTCTGTTGCCGTGCGCAGTAATTCATACACCATATCTGTCTGTGCCATTGAGATGATGTACAAGAATTAGTGCACGATTGAAACAAATTCAATAGCATGTGGTGACTCAAGGAGAGAGATGCAAGCAAATGTTGCTACAATAAATAAAAGAGGCTTACCTGTAAAACATTTGGCAGGTTTAGTCTTTGTGCAAGTTGAGTAGCAATAGTAGACTTCCCAACACACGCAGTACCACAAACGAGAATAACCAGCGGCACTCTTTGATGATGAAATCTAAATGTAAAAATAACTAATCAAACGGAGATCATTAACAGTAAACACGTAAGCAGTTTCAATCATCGTCTTTTTCTCCCACTAAACAACAAGAAACCAGAGTCTCGAGGCATAAAAAATGCAGGTTCTGAACTTCTAGAAATAGTCGATCGGTAAAAGTAAAGTACCTTGTCATCATTTTATATCTGTTTATATACTCTTCCCCATAACCTCGCCGCTCCATGAGCTACACGGCGTGAGAAAATAATTATCAAACCGCATTTGTCAACCATTTAAAGTTTCTTATTAATAAAGCAAGTAATAAAGGACAACAAAAAACAACAAAGCTAAGAAGGAAAAAGGAAAAAGGGGAAAAACGTTCCAGAAACAGTCTATTTGGATTAGATAACTTCCTTAATCATTCATTTATAACAAAAGAAATGACTAGCAAGAACTACTAATGGAAATTTCTATATGAGGTAAAAAGTAAAATAAACCAAAAATTGACAGAAATCAAGAAAAGCAAATTCAACACACCTTAAATAAGTTAGCTTCGAGGTCGGATTGCGATCTGAAAAATGATTAACGTAAACATCAACACTAGCAAAAAAAACACAATGCAACTTCCAAACAAAATTGGCTAAATAAGTATGAGTAAAATTATGCCAGAACATACACGTCGAGAAGTGTGTTATCTATAAGCAGTTTTTTAAGTTCAAGAGCAATCTTAATCGCCACGTGATTCGGAATCTGCAAGAATCAAATACAACACCATAAAAACAAATTGAAAAAAATACATGCATGTATATATAATAATATCACTTAATTCCACAAATAATTTTGAGAAAAATGACCAAACAATGATGAAATACTCACCTTGGTGACTGTCAACATTCTGCTAAGCAAAAATCGGGAGAGCACGTAGTAGTGATCGGCATTATCACCCAACCACACCTTCACCTGAAGAAAAAAAGGCAAAAAAAAAAACTAAATTAATTAAAAAAAAAGGGGCGATAAATAGCAATTGAAACGAATTCATGATTGTAATTAGGGGAAAAGAGTATTGATCCGAAATCTGAACCTTAACAAAATCGTATTTGGAAGAAGCGTTGCGAGTGGAGTACGGCGCACCAGCTGAGTTTCCGATTTTATTTCGAAGATCAAAATCTCCTCCTCCACCACCGCTTCCACCTCCACCTCCGCCGCCGCCTCCACCTCCGCCTCCGCCTTCTTGTTGGTCGGTGCTAGTGCTTTCTATTGCCACTCCTTTATCCTTTCTCATTTCTCTTTCTGAAAATTGAAGCAGGCTGATCTCGGCAACGGTGAAAACCAGGTCGGAGTGTGTGTCTATGATTTTCCTCTTTTTTTTTTTTTTTTTTTTTTTTTAATTTATTCTTTTTATTTTCCTTGGTGCTTTTTTTATGGCTGCTTCTGGAGAATCTGGACAAGGAAATAAAGAATAATATCTTAATTGTTCAATTTTTATTTATAAATAAATTTATCTATATAATATATAAAAATAAATCGTCCTGCCTTTAACATTCGATATTTGACATATCTACGTGGCATCTACGTCTTATTATTTATTATATTTATATTATTACTCTATTAATAAGAAGGAAACAAATATTAGAAGATCATATTCATTTATGAATTATGACATCATGTTTGAATATATTTTATAGTAGTATATTCAAATTATTACAAGAGGTTATTATCTTAACAACTGAATTCGAAATGTTCAATTAATCGAATTATTTCTTCTCTTTTTTTCGAAATGTTTTAGTATATACTATTTTTTTTTTCCGAAGACAATACGCCTTCGGAAATTAATTAAACTAGTAAAGACCATTTTACCCTTATATAACATTTACTAACATTAGGCATTTCTTCCTAGTAAAAAATAACATCTGGTGGTGTGACCTCTTGCATTTTGTGTTCATGCAAGTTGTAGTGAATTGATTATTTACAAAATTAATTTTGAAAAAAAATACAGTTGGTAAAATAAATATATATAAATATATGAAATACAGTTGTAGTATTAAACAAATTCACATCTCCACTGCCAAAATAGTGTTGCATGTGTTCTTAATAAATATATATAATTTCCCCATACACAGTACAGAAAACATAAAAAAAATTACATCTTTAATAACAAACTAGTTTCACATTGCATTAATTTCCAACATTGTTAAAGATGATGAAACAAATTACATTAAATAAAATATAAAAATTACATCTTTTTTTTTTCTTCTTCATTTCTTTCTATGAACCAGGCAAAGATTTCCAGTCATGTGATTTCTTGAAGAACTTACTTCCCCTCTTTCCCATGCCGATTCCTTCAAGATAATTCGAAACCGCAGATTTTCTATCGGGTTTCCATTTCAAATCTTTAAGAGCCGAAAACACACTCGAAAGTGCAGGATTCACTTCACCATCCTTTATTTTGTTACACGAGTACACTTTTAAGCTCTCGAGATCGTTCCAATAAATTATCACCGACTCTAAACCGAGTGTTGTTAGCATCGAGCACCCTTCTAAACCCAAGAATCTCACCTTTCTGCACATAAAAATTTGCCCACATGCCACAAATTAGTTCAGCATAACTTTTAATTGGTAATGCCAATATGCAGATGATAAAAATGCAATCTTTTTCGGAATTTCCCATGTTATAATGCCATACTTGTATAATGATTCGAAAGAATTGCGGATGATAAAAATGCAGTCTTTTCAAATAATCAAGAAAATTTGCGGAGATTTGAAGAAAAAAAACGTACCTCAGAGCACTTGAAGTTCCGAACATGTCGTCATTCAGCCCCCAACAATTCTGAATGACTAATTCCCTTACGTTACAACAGACGAGAAACAAAGCCCTCAAACTCGTCTTATCCCTCAATTGACACTTCTCCAAGTGTAGCCTTTCAACCGATGGACAAGATCCAAAACCCTCGTCAAATTCATCACCACCGTCGATCCTCTTACACGAAACGAAAATCAAGGTTTTCAAATTTTCAAAGTACGAAAGAGCCGACAACCAGCCATCCTCCATTCTATGATTGCAAAGAGTCAACTCTTCGAGCATTAGGCAACACTGACCGATAGCCTTAATCCCCTCATAACCCCCCTTGCACCCGCTCAACTCGAGCTTCACTAATCTCTTGCACCCTTGTGCCAAAATAGTCAACCCCACATCCGAAACTAAAGATTCGTGCAACCCATCTTCGGCTCCGTTCAACCTTAAAATCTGAAGATTCAGACAGGCTGCAATACCACGCAAAACGCGGTCGTTGCACATAAGCAACTCCAATTCTTGCAATGTGGGACACTCCTCCGCCACACTCAACAACCCCATCTCGCTGCAATTCGCCACGGCTAGTTTCGTTAAATTCGGACATTTATTAGCTAAAACCCTCAAACCCTTGTCAACTTCATCAGCATTCAGCACCGACTTTTCGGTAAAAATCGAATCTTTACCACCCTCGAGATTCGACACAGCATGAAAAGAGACAGTCTTGCGACTGCGAGTGCAGAAAACACCGGAATCCCGAGGCAAAATCGAACACCCCTCGACCAAATCGACATGAACAAGATTAGGGAACCTAAAAAAAACCCGGCCCGAGACCAAAAACTCCCAATCAAAAAGCTTAACTGATCTCACGAGCCTGCCTTGGAGATTGAGCCATCTTTTGGAAACAAGAAAATTAGCAGGCCTCTGAGATTTGGGGAGTTTGGAGAGAATCCTGAGCAAGATTTCATCTGAAAGAAGTGAGGTTCTATCTGAGGCAGGATTTGTGAGGGTGGAATCTTGGGTTGTCTTGGGGGTTTGAGGCGGCGGCGGCTGCTGCTGCGGCGGCGGAGAGTGTAGGGTTGTGGGTGTGGGTTGGGTTTCTTTGAGGGGATGGGTTTGTTTTGAATGGATACGGATTGTGGAGAGGACATGGTTCAAAGCTTTCTTCTTCGTTTTGAACCAATTCGAGTCTCGATTTTCTTTCTCCGGCGAAAACCCCATTGTTTTGCGCTTCCATTCCATTTCTTCTTTCTCCATTTTTTCTTTTTGCAGCTCTGTTTGCTTTACATTTTCCCTCTGAAATCAAGGTATTATTTTGAATGCAGGTTTGACTGTCTATTCGGTAATCAAAGAATCAAGATTTTTTCTTATTGGCAGAGATTTTTTTCTATTTATGCAATGGATGGGAGAGTTGATTCCTTATTCACTCGGATTCAGCTCTTGTTCTTCTTCTTCTTCATGTGAAGCTTGGGATTCTGTTCCAACGGAAATGTGGGGCCCACTACGACGATTTGGCCATTCAAATTGTTCATTTCGGCTCTTTTCTTGTTGCTGCTAATAAAATAATAATAATACACAATAATTTTGAATTGCGGGCCTTTATTCAAAGCAGTAATTGGGCTTTTGTTAGTTACCAAAATGTTTGGGCTTTTCCTAAAGCTGGTCCAAATTACAATAGCATACGTCTTCGTCAACTTTGACATTTTCATATTATTTCCCCTTTTTCTTAAAAATGGCAGGTTGATAGTAATTCTAATGCAAATTTAAGGTCTCATTTTGTTAGGGTAATTACAGCTATCTATCAACTATAAATCTTCTTACATATCCACACAAATTCAACACAATTTTCTAGATTCCATGGAATATTCTCTAATATGTACTCGTTTTGTGCAAAAATACAGTTTCTGATACACCACAATCTAATATTTACAAGCCAAAAGACACATCTTATAACCATCTTGTTTCTAAATGTGGAGCTCGAATGGGGTGAATCGGATACAAACGGAGAATATTCCACATAATCAAGAAGATTCCACTAAATTTATCACCACGAAAGGAGTATGTGTAAGAATATTTCTAGTTGAAGGGTGTGGTTCTAATCACCCAAACATGATGGAATTTTTCATAATTTGACTTTACGTGAAGTAGGGGTAAAAATGGAAGAAATATTCGACACGGTTTACATAATACTCAATATTGCATCAGGCAATATTCGGGAAACCTTGAATAAACTGTCTCCTTTATCTACATAACTATGAACATGGTTCTCCAAATGGCTACTAGAACTTAAGCCAATCACCGTAAAGCCAAGCAGGAGAAAAATAGCACAAAATAAAAAACCTAACTCGAAACGAGAATCCGATCCCCTGGTTTATGCCCGTCGGATAAAATGCAAGGACTAGATGGATAATACAATTTACACTTGACAAAAAAGGAAAAAAAAAGGTGCTTGTAAATGGTCATCCACGAGGCGCTGCCATTTGCTGCTTCTTTATCCTTTCGTCGTGTTTCACCATGCTGAATCACAAACATAAGACGACAAAATCTTCTTATGAATACGTACTCAATCAAATTTACTAAACTGGTTTAGAATTTCATTTTGAAATGGCATTAGTTCTCTCTAAACGAATGTATGTGAAGAAATGGTCAATGTCGGAAGGATAAGCAAACTGACACCTATAAATGGTGTTACTAAATTAAGGGGCAAATTCAATGTTGTGAGAGATATGAGGCTATGTGTTCGAAGTTTTTTAAAATGCTTGATAAAAGGAATCCATGACCTGCAACTAACATTCACAAAGGTATGTAAAACTGACATGTCTAACATTATTACACTCTCACCTGATGTCATGAGGGGTAATAAATATCCACTGGGAACCTTGAGCCAGTGCAAAATCAACTAAGGCGTCCAGGCTAATTTTTCTGCTAACGGCATCCTGCAGGTCAAATAAAGATATAAAGTAAATTGACGTGCCGTTGTTTTCTTTTTCGTTTTGACTCGGAGAAAAGGAACATATAAACCTACATGGAACTCAATGCGGTATGACAATGCATATCCGTCGTACCGTGAAACTATACAAGATACTCGGTTTTGTTGCAATATCCCATTTCTGAATTTCATGGTAAAGATGGAGTAACTAAAACTAATGTTCGGGATCCTTTTTCATCCAACTAATCAGGGCATTTAAATTCACCCAGAAGATGCTTTAATGAATTGGCAAAATTATATATGATGTTTGAACCAGTAACAAAGGTGAACTATACATGCATCATGATTATTCCTCGAATCATTGAAGTGTTGCCTAGAATTTGCGCTCATTGCATAAAAGTATGATTCTTTCTTTTGAATGCGTATTTAAAAAGATTCAGAACTGGCCTTGCTCAATCTTCAAAATAGCTGAAATAGTCCTAAAAAGAACCCAAATTCCAATTGACTAATATTGTTCATCATCATTTAGCTATTGCATTGTCTTCGATATACTTTAAGAAAATTGGATCTGTTAGAAACATACCATAAATACATCGAACTCATCCATGGCACGGAATGGCGATTCTGTCATCTCATGAAGTGCGAGAGCAAAACACAATGTTGAAAAAGAACGTTCACCACCTGTTCAAACATCAAAGAAAATCTTTTAATTTTTTTTGGGACAAGAGCTCTTCATTATATGCTTGACATGCTAAAGAAATCGTACACATAAAATGGAAAGCAAGACTACTTTTTTCGCTAGCTTTATGTTTTCTTAAATTTCATCATAATTCATTAATTTTATCTATTAAAAATCTGATCACCAATCTTGTAGCAGAATAGCTCTATAGGACTCTACATGCAATATTACTTGTGTTGACATTTTCACATGCAAATATATTGTATTCATAAACTAGGTGGGTACTAAATCAATATATATCTGAATTTATCACAAATATTTGTAACATGTATTTTTATGTATACGAGATAACATTGAATTTTCTCCAAACTGCTTACTACCAATCATAAATTTTACGAATTATATCCCAATAAAAATTCCGTAACTATATATGAGTAAAAACTGAAGTGCATTGTTATCCACAAACTGAAACTTTGTCAATGTATACTAGTACTATCCCTGCCTCAAACATTTTTTTTAAGTTTGGGATGTCTCAAAACCGACAGAAGAAACTTCTGTGCCGGTGGAAGCCACTGCTGGAGCAGGGCTTAATCAAGATAAGACCAACAAATATTCCTGAAAAAAGCTAATCACTCAGCTCCTCACATAATTTGGACAGGGGGATGGTCATATCAGGCTTTAGCATCTCATTTCTCCTGATTAACCGGATACGAAAAAAAATCCCAAATAGGCAACCCAAACCACAAGTCTAAGATGGTTTGCTTTAAACACATGCGCACAAGGATCCAAAATGGATCAATAAACAAAACAAGTCAACCATACTACAAAAAAAAAAAAAACGAAGAAAACCTGAAAGCCCTCTTGTGTCACAAACAGAGCTGCTTGATGCGTCTTGAGGCATGTTTACCTGGTAAGAAGATGAGATGGTTACTCTTAAGCTTGTATCCAGGTGATTTTGAAAAGGGAAATTCACTCTTAATAATGATAGCAGCATGCCAATTTCATTACTTTACCTCAACTGACAGGGTCTGCTCTTCATAACTAACTTTGATTTTACCGCTGATCCCTTTCTTTACTAAATGTCCATTGAACCTATTGAAAATAACTATCATCAGTAAAAAAATTGAACTATTTCAGGTCACAACTTCCAAGTACAGAAAAAGTCTCTTTGAATAAAAAAGGCCAAAGGAGAGCGGGCCCTACTGCCACGTTAGCTGGCGCTTCAGAGCATTGGCATTCGACTGGAATTTCTTCCATCTAAAGTGTAAAGCTACCTCACAAGCCTGAAATAGAGCTAGGTATTACAAAACTGAAGGTTCTTGTAGGACGACCACAATGGGTCTAAGAATATCAAACGTAAGAATCAGATTTCATAACAACAAATTATCAAGAAATACAGCTACAAATCAAGAAAATCATAAATGGTTAAGACTTCAGAACAATGAAGGGCAAAATAAAAAGTAAATAGGGAAATCAAGGACAAGCACACGAAAGTAACTAATATTGATTCCTATTTCCTTCTCTTTCAAGGATAGATATTAATTGAGAAATGTGTTGACGACTTATACACTTGTACTTCCTTTTACGAAGCAGGAACAGTATATGAATGAGCAATTGAAATTGAAGAATGCACATAAAAAGTTTCTACAGGTAGCAGCAAAGCAACCATGGAAACGGAAGATTTGGAAAATATTCATCCATTTATAATAATGTAGAACCAGGAACAGTAGATGAACGAGCAATTGATATTGAAAAAATGCACATATAAAGTTCCTATAGTTAGCAGCTAAGCAACCATGGAAGCGGAAGATTTGGAAAATATTCATCCATTTATGATAATGTAGACCCAGCAAGAGAATGACACTGTAACTTACTTCTAATTTCTCTCGAAATGCTTTGTAAGTTTGCTGTTTTCTTGAGATCTTACGCTCTTTTTTTTCACACAACATTCTCAGATCATCAATAGATTCTGGAAATCTGCATAACAAATTCCCCCATGAACTAAAAGGAAAAAGAATAAAAAAAACTCATGTTTTTAAGACAGAATCTTGCACATTTTACCTTTGGCTCTCGCGCTCAAGTCTTTGAGTCGCCCTACCAAGTAGAGTGCTGAGTTGTTCAGGACTCTCCTTGCAGCCTCCTAAAGCCTCAATCTCATCCTCGGGGCATATCATTGAAGCTTTCCGATTGTTCTCCTACATTTCACATAATCAACACCAGGTTTTGTTTGAGAACCCATTTAAGCAGAGAAGAATGACAGAAAGTGGTTATATATTTTCAGAGCCTGAAAAAAACTGAATCACTTCATCAAATGCACTGATGCATTGACAACAAGAAAAAATGCAATCTATGAGTGATTTATCTTTCCAAAGAATGGCTTGAAATTCACCTTGCAGATACGCTCAAGCTCCTGGAACTCCGCCTTTGCATTTTGTAGCTCCGAAAGGACTTTTTTATGCATTATTTCTTCATAATGTTTCTTTTCCTGAATAAGCGAAATTCAGAAAAACTCTGAAAAGGAGGCAAGTCGTGCAAGAATAAGTAGGTAGGTAAGAGAAATGAACCCTTTCTGCTGCATGCAGATCTTTCTCTATCATCATCAGTTCCCGCTCTGCTTCAGCTAATGCATCAATTTCTGACTTTGCTGACTCTAAAATTATAAATAATCGAATGAGGCTTACAGAATAGGTAACACACACTCAACTTCACAATTTTAGACAACACTAGCATACCACATAAATTTTCGAATGACACTTTGAGATCTTTAGCTTTTATTCCTGCTTCAGCCACTCTCTGATGAAGCTTTTCTAGCAAAGTTTCCTTTTCTCGTATTTCATTTTGCACTTTCTGCAAAACAATAGACCATTAAACAGACTAGATCTCCAGCACTAACTAGAATAGCTTGGAAAATAGGACAAAAATAAGAAAGCATGAGTCCAAGAAACAGACAGATATATCTTCATGAAGCTCATCCACAGTTGATGCAGGTCCAGAACTAACTTCTGAGGAAAGCAACTTTTTCACATCTGCCAGCTCAAATTCCATTTTCTTAGATTGACGCTCTACATCTATTCGCCTTCTCTGAAACAAGTTACAGCAGATACGGATCATGATAACCAAGCAACAACTCTGAGCAAATCAAAAGGTAGCACGGTCCACATTCCACTTGTTACAAATTCAGCATATTACATATTAAAATACCAACATATTCCAATCATGAAACATCCATGTCATATTTAAGCAATTTTCGAAAAGCCAGTCGTGAATAGACCATTCTCGGTAATAGTCCGATAATCTTTCAACTGGCATAGTTTACATCAGCCGGCAGTTCATGATTGGTATGACAATCTAATACTTCATATATTAATGCAATAATCTTTCAAAGTGCAAATAATGCCTTTATGATCAGTGTCATATGTTAGGGAAGACCAATTTATTGAGTGAAGAAAAACATCAAGATAAAGTCCAACTATCACAGTTCTTCACAAGATAATACACCCTCTGATCAACATTCACACTGTAATGGCCCTTATCCCACAGAATGGAAGAAAAGTATTCCAACAGCAGAAGCTACTCTTGGTAGCTTGTGATCTGTCAGAGGCTTGGAGCTCTTTGCTGCTCTAAATTCTTATAGATGTCAAAAGACTGGTAATACATGGATCAAAATCTATTTTTCACTTTTACACTCACATTACCAAAATCAGATTACTAAAGAGTATAATTGATACAACCAGTAGTTGGCATAATGGATATTAGAAAAGGAATCTTAAAGGGTGTGTAGATACCTTTACACTGCTTAACATACTGTGAAGATTCCTCAACTCTTCCTCTTTAGCCCGTTTTACTCCCCGGCCTTGTTGAGCTCTCTCTTTTACTTCTAGTGCATCTCTTTCCAGATTTTTAATCTCATTATCAAATGAACCACAAAGACGACCAGCTCTAAAGTTTTTGTTGGGAGGGAGAATAGTTTGTGCCGAACCACGGGAAAACCTGCAAAGGAGCTCCATTTGATCATTGTCTTGAAGCCCGCTACCGTGCTTAGGAAAATTAGAGAACTACTAGCATACAAATTACACATGGAACTCGAATACCCAGATCTGCAGTACCTGGACATTGATATGACATTTCATTTAAACAGAACTAAAAAAGGCTTTGCAGAATCTAATGTCGGAACTTATTGTGACATTACAAAGATCTGAAACATTCAACAAAATTGCAGAACAGCAGAAAAAGTAAGAGATCTAAAATATTAAATATAAGCACTTCAAGTCAGTCTTTTATTCAATGTGATTGTTCATCTTCATTCTTGTCATAAATTGATGATAGAAAAGATAACTTTGATGTATTAGCATCAAACAACTTGTAATTTGATATCCAAAAATGTCAACCGATATTATAGACATAAGATCGGACAGATTGATGCATAATGCATCTAAAACTTTCAATAGAAAAAAAAAAGACAAGACACGATTAGCATTGAATAGTAAGTGTCGGATCAGAGGATCACTTAAAAATTTTCTTACATCTTGAATCCATCAGAAGTGTAAACCTCTTTCAGATTTGATACCCTCTGATCAAAGGCAACTGTCTTACCAACATCATAATCTTTAACGAGCACTTGCCTCTCAGCACTAGCCTACAAGATATACAGACTATTATTACAATGTTGACAACATGATGATAAAAAATATTATAATGGAAAGAGAGCATATTATCAACTAAGCTTAAGCCTAGTGGTACCAGGAGCCTCTTCCATAATGGTGTTTGGCGAGAGGCCGGGGTTTCGAATCCCTTTGGGTGCGTGTGTTGGGTGCGCGTGTGTAAGGCCAGTTTTATTTATTTTAAAGAAAGAGAGCATATTGATGAACGATCATCATATTGAAGAAGGATAAATACGTGTGTTTGAAATTCAACATTGCATTCACAAACAGTATAAAACCACCAAAAGCAATTCTCCGCAAGCATATTTCTGCAATAATTTTCTACGTATGACAACATGCAGTGAGTGGAACATTATATTCAAGTGTCAAGTAGGTGAAAAAAAAATTGGAATTGCAAAGCTTACCACATCAACCAAAACATTCAGCACCGTCGGATTGTCAGAATGTATAACGGAGAATGCAGTGGGATGATTAGTCTGGGGAAGCATGTGCCTAGGAATATCAAGTCTACGGATAGACAAAAGTGCAACTGTCAGAATAGATTCACTTGGCTAAACCTAATTTGGAATTGATTCCACTCCAGAGATATCTGGCATGTTACCTGGGTCTGGAGAAGTCATATATGATAATCTGCAAGTGGTTATAGTTTGCTTCCCTTGCACATGCTCTTAAAATGCGGGCATCTTTATGATCTGTGACAATGAAAGCATTGAGCACCCTGCCAACAGCATTTTCAACAGCTATAGACCACATGTCTCCATGTTCCAATTTCTGAAATAATTAATTAAACCAAACGCAAGGAGAAAATCAGCATTGCAAGCAGGCTTGAGATAATAATAGTACTAATTAAAAATAAAGAGCCTCTTATTAATAAAAAGGCAAAAGATCCTATATAATTCCATTCTAAGATAGAACATTTGATACAAATCAGCGACTTCTAATGCACGAGTGAACAGTGAAATTTTGCAAATAGATATATAACAAAAAATAAGTTATCCAGCAGAAATAGAGAAGCATGATTCTTGATATAAAGATATTGAACTTTGACATATGAAAAGCGTTTAAAAGATATAGAAGAATATAAAGATACAATTTGGTTCGCCGTATGGCCTACATCCATGGAAAAAAAAACATTGAAGGACATTAATAGAAAAAACCAACATATTAATTTAGATAAACTATCCCATGAATCGCGCATTAATCATAATCATACCCGTTGTAACTGATTTTAGTTCCTAATACTCCCAGATAACTGAGCACGGAATAATTAGTTTGAGTGTATCAGCTTGACCAATTGAAATTGCAGAAGGAAAAAAAAGATACCAAAAAATAATTCCATATGCCTAAAGAGTTATCCATTCATGCAGGAACTACACGATGTAAGCTCCAATATCTTACCACATGGGTGCCTATGGGACCAATTGGTGGGCTACTAAATTTATGTTGATGTCGCTCAATGGCCTGCAAAAGACTGGTCACCAGGCTTCCTCCAAATGCAGTAACCTTCAAGCGAAAAGCAAATAAAGCTGGATGATAGAGAAGATGAACGAGTTTATACAAATGTAAATACATGCTATTATTTCACATGAACAGGGCCTATACTGACTTATATAGAATCAAAGCTTGACTTCATGTAACCCCCACGGCCCCATCCCAAACCCCAGAAGAGAAATACACTGGTGAATCTACATGGAAGTCGATATGAATGCCGTCGGTATGCAAAATTTACAATATAATAAACAGATGTAGAAGAAATTATTGGAGATAATAATATTAAATGATATATTTCACTAACAGCTTAAGCTTTTGGTTGAGGTGGTCATTCAACATGGTATCAAAGTCAGACCAAATGAAGAGGTCAGTCATGAATTCGAATCCCACCGCCACACATTTCAAATATTTCAAGTGCAAGGCTTCAAATGTAATTTGCCTGCACTTGAGGGGGCACATTTGGAGACATTAATATTAAATGATACATTTCACTAACAGCTTAAACTTTTGGTTGAGGTGGTCATTCAATAGAAATAATGGAAAGCAAAAATTAAAAAAGTTGGCAAGCATAAGAATAGTAAGAGAAAACATGTTGACAAATATGCAGATACAGATTCTCCAGACCTTATTTGTTTGATGCATTTGGAGCTCACGGATACGAGAAGAAATACTACGGTGCCTTCTCTCAACTTCTTGCATCTGAAAATATTAATAATTAGTGGATGCAAATTACTAATGAAGATTGCAGAAGAATAAAGTTTCATACCAGAAAAAGGCTTTAACAATACCCAAAAATCACTAAACACTAAACACAAACAATAACTATAGACATGTACTATATTCAGTTTTTTCAACAACAGAATGCACTGCAAGTTTCTTGTTTACAATTGCTGACTGCAGGGGGTAGGGAACATATATAGTGTAAAAGACACAAAAGTAGTTGAAGATCCCTGAGCATACCATTACAATATGAAGCACGCTAGCTACAGTTTCATACCTGATCGGCAATTTTTTCAATTTCATTTTCAACCACAGATTTCCTTTGTATTATTTCATCCTCTTCTTCCTTTAATCTGAACATAACCATTTCATTCAGATCAAAAGATCAAAGTGAAATCAAGCATAAAATCACAAAAGTAGCAAAGAGTTAAGTTTGAAATGCTACCTCCGAAGGTTAATGTTAGCTTCATCTACCTCAACTTGCAGTTCCCTTTGTCTTTCCTCCATCTCATTATCTTCGGCCTACGGCCAATCAAATATTAATGGCATATTGTTGCTAAAATGTGAAGTACATGAGCAAAACATAAAATATTTAGTTGACAATGAAAAATATTCTTCAATGAAAACAATAATTATATAAAACATATGACTGGAACAAAAGCAAGTTACAATAATTTACTTGTGAACAAACTGGGAACATCAATATTAGAATTAACATCAAGTTTGCTATCTATCCCAGTTTAGTATGGCCATTGATGGCTATCCGTTAATGTAATTTGATACAAAATATCTGATAGGTATGAAGGCCTACTCAGCAATCTTTTTGAGTAAGCGTGAGAAGCTGCAATAATAACTTCTGGGTTGTCTAGCAAGTTGAGTAAACTTAACTGGAAAGATGGCATGCATAACTTGGTTTAGGAGAAAACAAAGATGAAATAGATTGCAATACACATGATTGATTCAATTATTTGTACATACCAGAAAACAATTATCATGCTCTCGAACAAGTTCATGAAAGAGAAAAGGAAAAGCGGCGCAGAATTTACATCAGCAAGTAAGGAAAAAATGTGAAGTAGGTCAATTACCTGCGTATTTTTCATGTACTGCTCATGCAAATCATGTATCTGTTGCTCAAGCGATTTGACATGTAGCCCCATTTTCTGAATTTCCCTAGTCTTGCGCTTTTGTTCCTCTTCTAGCTTAAATCTCTCCGTCACAGCCTATTACAAAAACTTCAAGCATTAGGATCTTAATCATAAATGTGACTGCAGACCTGTAAATGACTTGAGAGACAAAGCTGAATGAAAAACAAAACAAGTTATAAGCAGTTCCCCGCAAGAAAGCTGAATATGAAATAAATGAGGGAAAAAATTCTGTAGAAACATGAGAAATGGAAGAAAATTGCTGAGATTGTATTGGTCCAGTACAAGAGACAAAGGCTTTGATGAAAGGGGGAGAAAGGGAAATGATAAATGGCGAAAATGAAAATCTATAAATAAGAAGAGTGGGAAAATTCAGGAAAATCACCATTTGGGTCTGCGAGGACTAGTATAATATAGCTAGCTGCTTTAGACAAACTTGAGAAACGGAACGGAATTTTCTGAGATTGCATTTGTGCATAAAAAAGACCAGGGCTTTTAGGGTGAGAATGAAAAATACCAAAAAATCAGTATACCATAGAAAGACTTTGATGCAAATCCTCTTTCATCCTTCTGACTTCGTTTGTCTTTTCCATCATATTTGATATTTGACTTTTCTTAGTTGCCAAATGATCACTCAATTCTTCAATCTTGTGCTGCAAATCAAGAAACAAAAGTTCTTCAGTTAACCAAACTGTTAGAAAGTCGGTTAAGTAGGGATTTGGCTTTTAATCAGCCATGATCCTGGAAATATGTGATTTCTGTGTTATGTAAAGAAACGGCAATGTTAGAAGTCGGTTAATTATTTGGCCTTCATTCACCCATGAGGATAGAGATATACTAGGATTTGTCTATGTATATATAGATAATCTATGATGCAAATTAGTAAGCAGGAAACATTTAATTTATTATTTTCCTTTTTTACTGTAATTCATCTTCTTCTTGATCGGATAGAATAATATATAGATAATTACGATGAAATTAGAAAAGTTGGGAAGCAGGAAACATTTAGTTTTATCATTTTCATTTATTTTACAGTAATTCATCTTCTTAATCGGATAGAATAATATACAGACAAATATTTTGTTAGCATTCATATTCCATTGCCTTAGGTAAAGAAAAAGGGTGCAAATGGTTCAGCCAGTCTGAATGCACTAGCCACCTTGTTTGCCTTATCTTATCCAAGGAAATAAAATATTTGATTTCCCCTCCAAGCCCAATGGGTTTGCGAGTTCTAGCCCACATACATCCCTCGATACTTGCATAACATGTACAAAAATCCAAGGTAATGATTTTCTTTACCTTACCCCAGCCAATTTTCATGACCAAAAGGCAAAAAAAAATTTGTACAATGTGTTTTCCTAATGTTTGTAGACAAATAAAACAAATAAATAAAGGGTAAATTACGAGAAAAAAATACCCTGTAATTAGGTTAAATTACGAAAAACACACCTATCCGTAATTACCCAAAAAAAACCGTTTGTTTCCATCTTACACCGACCCCCTTACGGTATGATTTTTTATGAAATATTTTTTATTCCAGGGAATATTCCCATAAAAATGCCGATTCTACCCCTTTAGACGTGGCATTTGTTTATGCTACTTTTAAAGGCAAAAATTACCTCAGGGACCTTTACACGGAATATTTATTCTTCTTAAATAACACACACCTTCACAACTTTTTAGTATTACCATTACTACTCTTGGTAATTTTTGTCTTTAAAAAGTATCATAAAGAAAAGCCAGGTCTGCAGGGTTAGAATTGGCATTTTTTGAGATATATTCCCTGGAATAAAAAAGATTATGTGAAAAATCACACCGAAAGGGGGTAGATGTAACACGGAAACAAACGTCATGGGGGTTTTGGTAATTACAGATAGTAGGGGTGTGTGTTTTTCGTAATTTAGCCTAAGTTCAGGGGGGTTTTCGTAATTTACCCATAAATAAAAGATATCATCAGATTCTCATCAAGCAACTTACATGGTGCAGATCAATCCGTTCTTGACAGCTTGGTATTCTTCCTTTTAGCTTTTCAATCAATTTTTGTTGTGCATCGAGTTTTCTGCCAGCATCATATACCCATGACCAAGCTAGTTTCTTCCTCAACAACTGCACCTGCTGTGATATCTCCTCCACAAGTTCCATGCTTTTTATCTTTTCTTGCAATTCGTCAAGTTCCTTTAATATTGGTCTCAGTGATTCTTGCAAATGATTAACCAGGGCTGTTGCGTCATTTAGTTGTTTTTCAATACCTTTTAATAGGTCATCCACTTGTTGAAGAAGAGTTGCCTTGAAAAAGAACTGTAAAGACTGTGTTAGTCAATGGCTATAATTGAAAGTATAGATCAAATGTAACCATCCAATTATGCAAAATTTACTGATGCATGAAACAGTAATGTTGGTTCACAAATGAATGGGCAGAAGAGAACTTATATGAATTTGCCAATTACACAGAATGACTTCTGAAGTCTAAGCACCTTATTTTCTGAAGTTGGAAAAGGAAGTTATATTATTACCTTGAACTTATCTTTTGCGTTCCCTGAATGTAAAAATTCTCTGCTCTTGTCTTGGCTCATGATGACACATGGATTTTCCACATCAATCTAAATGGCAAAAGGAAAAGACAAGTCAAACTGTGCTTAATATTTTACTTTGTGTCAAGAATGTTAAAAACCGACATAATGAGGACCAATAACCAGGTTATTTCTCCACCTTCTCTAGTGGCACGAGATATAGTAAAAGAAGTGGATAGAATTAATTTAACAAAATGTCAAAAACATGTAAAGGTACAGGAAAAAAAACCCTACTTTTCAGTCAATTGACAGCAAAAACTCGTATTTAAAGATCCAGATAAGAAAAGAAATACCTTTTCCAAAATTGTTCATAAATGATATGTGAATAAAACATTATATGAGCCTGTTTAACAAAATTTCTAGGCAATTTTATTTTACATTGAATTCTAACTAAGTTAAATAGACGAATTCTAATCATAAAGAAAAATGCCTCTTCTTTGATAGTAAACAGGATTTCAATTACCACATTTATTTTGTCCTAAAAGGGACCAAAGGTCATGAATGACACCAAAAGACTGCTAGCTAACCCAAGCATAATCGTTTGAAGATCAAGCATATATACATCACCAAAAAGCCCACTTCCTCTGAACTTTGAACTGTGAATAAGTACGCAATTTCCTTAGTTAGAGATTTGACTTTGTTAGACAGGGAGCAAATATGTAAGTGCCTTAGCGTGCATTTGGATTGAAGAATTTAGATTTAATGAGAAGATCTGGAAAGGATTTCAATTGACTCTAGTGTGGATTTCGAATCCATTTAAATACTCAAAATTTACTTCAAATTAATAGTAAGGATTTGAAATACATTGTCAACTGAATCCATCCAAACAAGTTCAATGGATTTGTCATTATGGATTTGAAATCCTTGGCACAAATCTCCCATTCAAAGGCAACCATAAGTTGATGGAATCTTAGTTAGGTAAAATCAGAGGAAATGTCTTTCTGATTTAGCAGTTAATTTTCGGTATCTTGCTATTTCGTGTTCTTTCATAACATATTTTTAACTTTTCTATTATAGCCAAACAATTAAACAAGTGAAAGCAAATATCTGCACCAGAATGACACAATCAAGAATTTGGATTAGGGGTATATAAGCAAATTCAATCCAATGTACATATCATCAATCAGCATAAAATGAGGGTCTTCCCACAAATAATTGAAGGAGAAGCATATAATTGCAAGACACTGGAAATGCAAAAATTCTGCTTTCCAATAAATAGAAACTAAAATAAAAGGCTAATAACACTCACATTGAAGTGTTCTACAATCTCACGCAGGTCATCTTTCTTGGTACCAACCCTCCTACCTGTAAGTCGAACAATCAGGAGGAATAAAATGGGAAGACAAAAAATGCCAAACGAACTTTTCCATTCAAATATATAGACATATCAAATTTTGGAGGGTTTTTCAGCTAGAGAACAAAACAAGACACAAATATGGTTGTAAAGTCAAGGAACAACTAAGTAGCCGGTTGGATTGCTGAAAGTTTGTGTCATGTTTTCTTTTTGAAAATTTAACATGCCAGAAAATTTTAGTTAGTAGAACAGTCAATAAATATGAAACATCCGGATTATGTGAAGGTATTAGAAAGTTCCTGATCGTAAGAATTTTAGTCCTGATTCTATTAATTTCAGATTTCACTCCTATATATTTCGTGTGTTCTATCTTGCGGTCATTGAATACAATATGCTAGTATCACCCCTAAAACCTGCACTTCTCCATTAACCGAAAACACAGACAACAAGCTGAGAAACGCTTTCTAAACAAAGCACGAAGAGTATATGACAAATAATAGGAAAAATAAAATAAAAAAATCATATTGTCTTATGTTTTTCTGAATACTATGGCAGCATATCATTCTTTACAGATCTTGAGGTTTTATGGTCATAGGAATAGCTAATAGAAGTAACTGAGAGAAAATATCAAGTGACTACAACCTTGAATATTTTTCAATGTGATGGAACTGGTTGATTCAGAAACTCTGCGCTCCACAATTATGACGTCTCCATACAAATCTGGCTTGAAAGCATCTTCTCCTTGATTTTTTATCTCAACTTGAACAAGTGAATGGCTGTTAATGAATAAAAGTAGGTCATATTAACAGTGATATGTAGAAGAGGCCGATCACGTACTTTCCAAAAATAAAATTGTGCATATATGAGTTTAACAACTGCTCATACGTAGTCATAGTTTAAAGAATACGTCTTAGATAAACAGCATGTTCTCGGTGAGTACACATGATTAGGCGCAAAATTAAGCAAAGGTGTCCCATGAATTTTCCAAGCAGGTTAATACATATATTATCAGCCATAAACCTCACATAAAACACTGTTATTAGAAGGAAAGTAAAACTTTAGGATTCCGTGACAGTAAAAGTTGCCTGAACCCAAAAGAGCCCAAGATAAGAGATGGCCAAAAAATCTCCATTTAAACTTAAATCCATTCAAAATTCACATTCAAGCAACAATAGCTATTCAGAAATCAAACAAGGTCCTCGTATGTACTTTAGGAAAGTAGTCTCTCAGGTTAACTACAAATTTGCATCATAAATCGCATATTTAATTTATCAAACATACCTGCAGCCCGTCTTTATAAAATCCTTCATCGTATTCGCTCTCTGCGTGCCACGAGCTCGGCTCCCAAATGCCACACAGAGTGCCGTTAATATAGCACTCTTACCACCTGAAACGGGCCGCAGAAAATCGAAGAATCGCAATCAATTTTATATAATATTATAATAATAAAAAACATTCATGCATAAGCATAATTTACAAGAATGGACAAGAGGGTGTATTTATGAGCCAGATAGAAGGGGGAGAGGGGTGAGCTTACTTCCATTCTGGCCGGTGACGAAATTGACCCAATCGCCGAGCTCGATTTCGAGATTGCTGTGGCACATGAAATTTTCCAAACGGATTCTGGAGATGATGCCGGCTTGCAGACCACTCGGGCGACGGGTCGGGTCGGTGAAAACCCTAGATTCTTCCATAGGGTTAAGCGTATCCTAGGGTTTTTGGCGTTTGATTGGTTGTTGGGTACGCAGAAGCGGGAAGAAAAGAGAATGAAGAAACGAGGGGGTGGGGGGGGCGGAGGAGAAATTGTGGTCTCCGTCTCAGTCCCTTCGGACGGCGTGTAGAATCGGTGATAGAGCTCTCTCTTCCTATGGGAAATGGCGGGAAAAGGCTGTTGTCTTTGGGCGGTGTTGGTTTAATGTGGTTCTTGGTTTATTGTTTAATAATAAAAAAAAAACATATGGGCCATCATTTTGTAAGCCCATTTATTATTTGTATTTAAAATTATTTTGAATATTACTAGCTTTAAAATATTAAATCATAAAAATCATTTTTTTTACTATTTTAGGAAATTTCGTATCAATTCATAGAAACATCATATTAGAATTCCGCTAGTTGGGTTGTTTCTGAAATTGCTATATCTAGGCTAAAAATCGTTTTGCACCCCAAAATATAACAATAGTAGCAATATGCACCCTCACAAATGAAAAAAGACACTATGCACCCTCAAATTAAGAGTAATTTAACAAATTGCACCCTATAGATTAAAAATAATGTTTTTACATTTTTATGGCAAAATCCAAATTAGCAACCAAGGGTATATCAGTCATTTCACATTGTTTTTCACTCACGTACTATACACATAAAGTTTAAAGGGGTAAGAATGTCATTGACTTAAAACCTATTTTTGTTGTTTCATGCTATTCAAAGCAGATAGCTAGAATACAGTGCCGATCATCTATCGTGTTGGACATCTATCGTGCACTCGGGAGCTATAAAAAAAATGAAACAAAGACTTCTAGAGCAAGAAAAATAACTATTTAAACTAAAAATGTAAAGTACCATTCTCATCAAAATAAGAGTTTGGCATCCCTGAAAACAAAATACTCGTTGTCATAAAAAGAACAAGACATGCAACAGTACTCTAAAACCAGCTTAGTGAAAAAAGAACATGTGTTTTTCTATTATTTGAGCTCATTAACGCCTATAAATCAATGTATCGAAAAAAATCACAAATTGTATCAGATATTGGTCTTCATTGCAGTAGATCAATTTCCCGTAAGAGAGAGAGAGAGAGAGAGAGAGAGAGAGAGATCTTAAATATGCTTATTATGTATGCATGAGCAGATGTAGACAAATTATACACAAATGCATGTGAACATAAACCAATGCGAAAATAAGAAATAAATTAATTGATTAAAAAAAACATATGATTTGTCCATTACCCAACTATTTCATTGATAATTGATGATATAACTTCTACCCTCTGTAACTTGTGTGTAAATAATATACAAGTATTTCTCTAACTTACTGCAATATAATTCACCACCCAATGATAAATATATCAAAAATAATAACTATTGCATATATATACTCATACACATATTATAAGCGTATGTAGAAAAGTTTGCATTTAGATATATAAATGGCACTATCATCTCACCATAGTTTTGGGATTGGGCACACATGGGTTCGTTCAAATCACCTTTGCTTTGCAATTGTTCTGTTGTTTAGAATAATACTACAACAGAAAATACAGTATAATATTTCTGGTTCAATATATATCATTTCGGAAACAAGTAGGAGAAGAAAATGAGTTTGATGAAATTTGTTTACCTTAATCTTTAATCTCAATTGTGAAGGAATAATCTTGCACAGTCTGGTGGCTTGGCCGTTTGGGTACAAGAATATTAGAAGAAAAAAGAATTGTGAAATAGGATTTATATCAATGACATTCTTACCATTTTTAAATTTTATGTGTCTAGTACTATAGTACGTGAGTGAAAAATAAATTGAAATGACTGATATACCCTTGGTTGCTAATTTGGATTTTACCATAAAAAATGTGTAAATGTTTTTTTTTTTTTAACTATAGGGTGCAATTTGTTAAATTACTCTTAATTTGAGGGTGCATAGTATCTTTTTTCATTTGTGAGGGTGCATATTGCTACTAGTGTTATATTTTGGGGTGCAAAACGATTTTTAGCCCTATATCTATTATAATTAACTTTTCAAAATCATTTTTCGCATTTTTTTTGCAAAATGGTCGGGTTTAGTTTTTGTTTATTAAGGTTTTTCTACAGCTTTAATAGCACATTATAAATGATATCCCAAACAAAACTGTCCGACGAACAGCAATCACGAGTGTATCTCATGAATCACGCCATATTTATGTGACCCGGTGTTGTATGATCAACTCATAAAAATTTGATTTTGCTATATTAATAAATATTTAGAAAATTCATATCAATTAATAGAAACTTCAAATGATGACATCGCATGTTCGATTGTTTCTAAAATTACGGGAACTATAAGAATTAGGTCGTAGATAAGCAAACTTCAAAACTATAAAATAAATAGTACAAACTTGAAAAGTTTTAACTGAAATGATTTGTGCAGGCACATATTAAACAATCAGGCACATTTTTTACCATTCTTCAAAAAACAAAAAGTGAAAAAACTCAAAAACTCTCTCAACCTTTCGATTTTCTTTCGCAAAGCCCGTGCAAATCGTCAACAGATCGGAGGTAATTTTTACGTTTTTACGATCCTCTTGTTATGTAGATTACGAATCCGAAAAAAAAAGCGAAAAAAATCGGACTTTGGCCTGCTCGTGTGAATTTACACGAGCGCATCCACTGCGCTCGTGTAAATCCATACGAGTAGGCCTTGTTAAATTTTTTTTTTAATTGCTCGTGTGATTTCACACGAACAGAGACGTTCTGCGCGTGTGATTTCACACGAGCATACCTTCTCTGTTCGTGTGAAATCACACGAGTGGGTTAAAAATAAAAAACAAATCTTTTAGAATTTTTTTTTTAAAAAAAAATATTTGTTAATGTGCTCGTGTGATTTCACACACACGAGCACTTGCCAAGTGCTCGCGTCAATTCACACGAGCACATGAATAAAAAAAAAGTCTCATTTTGTGCACATGAATAGTACAAAAGGTAAATAGTTATGGTAAAAAGGTAAAAAATCATAGTAAAAAAGTGCCTGAATATTTAATTTGGCATGCGTATATTATTACCCAAGTTTTAAATTATGCTATAGTACGTTGTAGATGCACAATACACTAACCAATTCGTGGACTCCTTGAACTGCACATTGTGGAAAGCCACACCGAATACAATAACGTGCTCTCAACCTTCTTGCTTATAATTTGCAATTGGATAGTAGGTAAGAGTAGATTTTATATTATATTATATTATATATATATATATATATATATATATATATATTATATATATATATCCGTCAAATTTATTGGAAAATTACAAGAGACTAATTAAATTTTGTCGCCGGTAATGGAGAAGCCAAAATATCGCAGGCATCATAATGCCGCCGGAAGCGGCGGTGAGTCCCCCCGCTTTCTCCGGAGCAAGAGCGGAAGCAGATCGGCGAGGTTTTCCCTTCACGAAACGCACTCCTTCACGTCTGGATACTCCGTGACCCCCAGGAGTGAAGAAATCGCTCCGGCGAAGAAAATGAGGAAGAAGCAGGTGGTGAGCGACGGCGGCGGCGGAGAATTGGACGGCGGTTTGGTTAGGTTTATTCCACGCAGTAGGAACAAGATAGAAGTGCCGAGGAGGACGCGATCGGCTTCCACTTCTCCATCCGCGTGGGCGCTGTCGCCGGGGAGATCGTTGCCTTGTTCCTCTCCGGCGCCGTTGGCCGTTGCGCCGGTTCCGAAATCTCCGGCGAGCTCCGGGAAGCTGACGAAGCGCGAACCGAAAGTCGGCGGCGGCGGGGGTGTGAGCAGCGTTTTGAATTACTTCAGGCAGAAGAAAGTTTCACCAATAGTGGAGGAAGAGTACAACCGTTACCGCGTGGCGTACAACACGTTGTTGCAGTGGAGATTCGCCAATGCTCGAGCTGATTCGTCCATGGCTGCCGTCAAACAAGTGGCTCAGGTACATATTTAATTACGATTTTAGCTTCATTAATTTGGCGATTAAAAATCACAATTTCAAAATTTAAATTAGATTAAATAATGCAGAAAAAGCTGTTCAATGGATGGGTAAGAATATCTCTGGCGAAAAGCTTACTTATGGAAAAGCGGAGTCTAATTCAAAAGCTGAAACACGAATTGAAGCTGTACCAGATTATAAGCTCAGAAATTAAGTTGCTGAATGAATGGAGCAAAATTGAGCCGAAAAACGTGGAAGCCGTTGGCAGAGTTGTACGAAAACTATCAGCCGTTTCAGTTTGTCTCCCTCTTGTCCATAATGCCGAGGTATATATTTATATAACTATTTTTTCATTTAATTTAATTAGATGATTAGAGTTTTATATTATTATTATTTATTTTTTTATGTTTTTTTTTTTTACTTAGGGAGATACAATGTCTGTATACGACGCCGTTTCAACAGCCGTGGAAGTGATGGACAACGTAAGAGCAATGATTCTTGACATGCATTTGCAGGTAAAAAAATTAATTTATTAACTAAATATTTTAAATGTTGAATAAAAATGAGTATGGGGTTTTTTTGGTAATTGTATTTTGGTGCACAAAGGTTGAGAAAACGTGTTACCTGCTAACGGAGCTGTCGGTTATGCTGAAGCAGCAGAAGCAATTCTTTGAAGAATTAGAGAAACGGGTTACACTGGTTGCATCTCTAGAGGTACTAAAATTGGTTTTTAATTGGAATTTCCATTCATTTTTATTAGTCCTATATATTTCTAATTTTATATTTCCTACGTAAATTTGAATATATATTTTCTGAGCAGAAAAAAAAAATGGAATCTCGTGGAGGAATTATTTGAAAGATTCAATATCCAAATTGCAGCCCATTGAATAAAATGACAACCCTTTAAAGCCCAATAGTTTTTGAATTAACCGGCATAGTTCAAGCCCAATAGCTTTTTTTTTTATTACAATGTTTGTCCCTCAAGTTTGCATCGATTTTATTTTGGTTGCATATTTTTGCAAAACACACATTTGGTCCCTCATGTTTCATAAATTCAACATTTTCGTCATTTTCATCAATTTTTCGTTAGTACTGATAGAATCAAGCGTGTGCTCATCACTTTCTTAACTGACGGACTAACGGTAAATTAACAAAAATTACCGAAAGAGTTAAATTTTTGAAACATGAGTGATCAAATGTATTTTTTGTGAACTTGGGGGGACTAAATATGAAATCAATGCAAATTTTAGGGGTAAAACTGTAATTTTCCCAATAAAAAAATGTTGTAGAAAAGTAATATCACAGTTAGTATAATAAGTGACTCTCACTAATATCCCAGTTAGTATAAGCATTAAAAATGATTTTAAAAGTTCTAATCAAGCTTAGACATGCATATTTTGATATTAATTTTTTTTTTTTATTTTTTTTTATTTTACTTATGTTTAACATATATATATTCATTTATTTGCAGGCTCAAGAGAAAAGTTTGAGAGCACATCATTTTCAACTGGTCAACGAAATAAATGCAATAGAAACATAGGTTGATTAAATTACATCTCTGATACAACACAAATGTAAATGTTGTGTACGAAAATCATCATAGGTTGATTAAATTACATTTTAAACCACATCAGCTCACTCTTTAATTTCATTTTCGTACGTCTAAATGCAGCTGAAATGCAATAATAGATCCAATTATACAACTCTACAACATTTGAAAAAATATTTAATTACTCAATCTATATATACCAATCCCCACAATTTTAAACTCATAAGAAACAACCCAAAATTTAAAAAAAAAAAAAAAAAAAAAAACCCCAACACTCGAAAACATATAAATAGATTATCAACATTCGACATTAGGTTTTAGGGGGTCCGGAAAATCGACCAGCCCATCACCGCCACTCCCCGGCAGTTTCCGGTGAGGCTTGGCCTCGTGCAACATGGACAAAACGTCCCTCATAGATGGACGGTCGGCCGGATTCCGACTAGTGCATAGCAACGCAACCCTAAGGAGTAGCATCATTTCCTCCCTCACCGGAGCGCACGATGCGCCGGCATTTTTATCTAAGACATCGTTCAAACCATTTTTCGTTTTAATTTTGGATTTGATCCAATCCACTATACTATTCCCGTCGCCAAATTCCGAATCCACCGATCTTTTTCCGGTCAAAATCTCCATCAACACCACGCCGTAGCTGTAAATATCACTCTTCTCGTCAACTTGCAATGTGTACGCGTACTCTGCAAATAGAAATAAAAATAAAAATTTTAATAAAATAAAATAAAATAATTAGAGTTGGATAATGGGAGAGTTATAATTAAATTGACAAGATCTTGGTGGGCCCAACTCCAAAGTATATATATATGATGAAAAAAAAAAAGTGAAAAATTAAAGGGAAGGAGCACTTTCACGCGCGGTAGTGGACACCGCACTGTAACAGTAGCAAATCACGGCGACAAAATGGAAAAGAAAAAAACAAAAAAGAATTAAAAATAGGGTGTGTGCTCCACCACGATA